GTGCAGAAGAGTTTTGCAGTTCCCTTCTTATTCTTCCCTGCTCTACAAAACCGAAATCTCTCTCTCAAATCTCTCCCTGTATTTGTATCTTGGTTCCCAGAAATTGGGTTCTCACTGGAGATGTAGCAAGGAAGATCCATTGGATGTGTCTTTTTGGTTTTAAGTGAAGAAAGTCTTCAAAGGTTAAAAAAACCCTTTTTTTCCTCTGTTTTAGTTCTTCTATATTTTTTAAATCTCAAACGAGAATTCAAAAACATGTTCTACTACTTTTGCTTGGGATTCACATCTCATCATTTACAACATACCCACAGCAACACCAACATGCTTTAAACATAACTAATCATACGCAACGAGTAACATAACTTCCATAAATACAACCCAATCAGAAACACGACACCAATCTAAAACCTAGCCAAACTAGAATATATCCCAACATGCTTTCATACTCATACCATGCACTTATTCACACAAACAACATGCATTTACAACAACTCATCATTAATATCAATAGCAACAACAACCACAATACAACAAACATCCCCCAAGTAATGTCTGCTTACAAAGGGTCCTAACACGATTTGAAACCCTATTAAACTGATACCTAAAACAAAAGAGATAATGTTTTGAGTTAGGATCCAATTCGAACACTTAATTGAAATTGAAAGAGGGTTTAAACGCTCTGTTACCTACTGAACCTTAGTAAAACCTCTCGGGTTAAGGTTGGTTTAGTGCCAACAGAGTCTGACACTACAGATCTAAGGTCGATGAGGTTCAAGCTTGCCTATATGGTATTAAATGTAAATGGATAACACATATCTAGGTTTGTTTGAGGTGGGTCAGTGCCAAAAGTAGCCAAAAGGATGGACCGCTGCAAATCTGAGCTCGAGGTTGCAAATCTAGTTGCTAAAGGTCTAGGTGTCGCAGTTTTGTGTTTGTAGAGGGAGTCGTGTCACCGTTCACACCAGGTGAGGGGCATCGCTGCTAGTTCGAACCTCAGGTCGTTCAAAAGTGTCGTCGAACGCCGTCAGATTCGTCGGTTTTGTTGCAGGGGTTTTGAGTGCCCATCATCGATCTAGCTAGACCGTCGCAAGTTATCGTCGGTGAGGGGGAAACCGCTGCAAGTCTGCTCGCCGTCATGGATTGCTGCTACGAGTTGTCGATCGTCGTCGTTCCTTTTGGTCCCTTTTGCCCAGTGGTTAGGACATCGTCTTTTCATGTCAAAGACACAGGGTCGATTCCCATAAGGGATAGGTACTATTTTCCTACCGCTTTCTGTTAATGTTCATTGCTAAGTCATTGTTCGCTATCTAGCTGGAAAAGGTGTCGCCAATGACTTTCTTAATGCTCCACACGAGAAGAAAGAAGGTCCAGGTCAAATTTCTAATTAAGCAAAGATCCCCCTTAGTTACTCCCTATTTTAGAAGTCCTTCATTTCCTCATTGATACTGGGTTCGGGCAAAAAACTTGATTTTTGAATATTTTTCGCACCTCATTCAATTTAGAGGTATAATTGAAGTAAGCACTTGGCTTTAGATCCCTATCACAATCCCTATCACGTAAGGGAGTAGAAAGATTGAATGTGTGAAGCATATTGGTAAGAATGGAACTTCTCCCTCTGTCTGTCATCTGCGATTAATGCACTCAATTTATCTTGATTTGGGCACTCATGGGCTGCGCGACTAAGCTTAAAAGGGAAGAATTGAACTTAAGAATTTTTTTTTCCGTAGAAAAGATGATGTCATGGAGGTTTATTCACCTCTTAAATCAAGAGGGGTTTAACAAATTTTTCTCTCAAATCCTTTCTTTCCCTAACATTTCTCTTTCACCAAAATTTAGAAACCTAAATGATGGATTGCCAAGGGATGTTGAAGACCTAAATTACTTTTCCAAAAGTTTGAAATTCGTTTCTTTAGCTAATGGCCTGGTTAAACTAAAAAATCTTCACAATGACTTTAAGCAAGTAGAAAGCAAAGTTAATTTCACTACTATCATTAAATTTAAGTAATAAACCATGGGTTAAAATTGATCTAACTGAGAAACGCGGATGTGGACGTTGCAAGATATTTCCTAAAAAAAGTTATAATATATTAATCATTTTAGAACAATTCAACCTAGCGTCCCTAATGGTAATCATGTCTTTGGTTAGTATGTTCTAAATAAAATAAAGAGTATGCTATCATGGATCAATGTTTAATAAAATCATAAAAATTTATATATAATTTAAGTTATATTATAAACTTGTAAGAGTGTTAAGACTCAATATAGCAAATACTTAAACATCAATATTTTATGATGTTTGGGTAGTCTTAAACAAATGCCTTCACGTTAAAAATTAAATAATTAATAAAAACTTATTCGTGAATTTGAGTGCCACTTTGCTTCCATTGCTTGACAAGTATTGGTGTGAAAGCAACTTGTGGTCCACCCTTCTGATTCAAAACAAATCTATTGGGCCCACTCTCATTTTCGTTTGCAAAGTGCAACTCTCATTTTTATTCCCAAAAGACATTCTCACCCTTTCTCCGTTCCAATTTTCTATCTCTCTTCATTATTTTCTTTTTCTTTTTGCTTGGTAAATAAATTTTCCATTCAACTTGTGAGATATTTTCAATTGAAATAGGATTGAGGACAATATATTTTTTAAACAATTATTTACAAAATGTTGAGAATACAGATATTATTTATGGATAACTTTTTTAGTACAATAGGTGAGGATTAGGATTTAAACTCACGACTTTTTGATCGAAGACCTACCTTGAACAGTTGAGCTATCTTTAGATTGGTCGAATATTTATGAATATAAAAACTAAGGACGATGATGTATAATTTCTAGATAAGTATTTAATTCTTTTCATTGATGGGTAATCATTTTAATGAAACTGATTTTATGAATTTTTTTTGTTTGATATCTATTGTCATTGATATAATATTTTAGTAAGATGATATTAATTTAACTTTGTATTAAAGTTTATTTATGTACTACTTAGATGGTAATTAATGTCTTAAAAAAATGGTAATGAATAAAACTATCTTTTTAGTCCTTTATAACATTTTAAATTTTACTCTCCTCCCATTGAAGACATATATCCAACATATATCTTCACTGAAAGAGTTGTGAGTTTTAATTTGTATCTAACTTTTTGTCGTATTAAAAAAAATAATGATAGTTCAATTATATTCCTTTATTTTCTATCTGATCTAGAAATCTATTAATTTGCATTTAGAAGTAGAAATGAATAAGGAAAGAGGGAAAAAAACACACACATACTTATCAAATGTTATATCTTATCTCAAAATGATAAAATCCAATATTCCATTAAATGTAACATCCCAATAGTCAAAAGAGATAATAGATAAACATAAAATTTAATATCCAATAGTAAATTTTTAATTTTCTTTTCAACTTTTCAATACAACAACGCTGGGGACTTGAACTCGACTCTTTTTTATCGAATATAACTAAGTTCAAGTTGTCCTCCAATAATAAATTATACCATTATAATTTTATATTTTTATTACATTTTTATGAAATGTGTGTTATCTAGAGTTACAATTTTCTCCATACTCCATTTAATAATTTCCAAATTTGAAATTCTAGTCTACACTATAATCTATAACATATTTTATCGAAGACTTAACTAATTAAAGATTTAGTATGATTATCTTAAAAATAATAACTCTAAATTTATGCTCCTTATTTAAGTTAAAAAGAATGCTAAATTACAAATAATAATAATAATAATAATCTTGAACTTTGCCATTTATTAAAAAGTCTCGACCTTTCATAAATATTTAAAAAATATCCATTGAGCAAACACCCAATGATATTTTGTGTTTATGCAAGGATATTCACAACAGTGTATTTCTGATTGCGGCTCGAACTCGGCCTCCGGACCGATCTGAACACTTGGGCGGACCTGCACAAAAAGGTGAGCACTCCGACGATCAAGTCAGTATAGGTCGGATTCCCAGTTTAGTTCGAGGTCAAAAATCATCGTACCTGATCATAGAGTGAAGTCCTCTACTTATGGGTGGTAGTCCCGCTAATCTCGCAACGGTTACGCTCGGTAATCTCGGGATCGTCGGTTACGCCCGGTAATCTCGGGACCGACGATTATGCCCGATAATTACGCTGGTGTCAGTAATTCGCATCGGCCCCCACCAAACTTCCCGGTAGGTCGGACCTCGGCCAGGTTCACCTCGGCCCCCATACTTAGCATCTATCAACGCTAGTAGTGGTGGTTTCGACCGTCCGAGCTGGGCATGACTCACGAGTCATCTTGGAGCACCAATGGGGGCCCTCCACGTGTCCAGGGTATTTTCATCCCCAAACATTTTGGATGGAAAATTGATGTTGTAGAAATAGAATAACATGACAACCAACGTGGAAGTTTGCCTAGAACAATTAGTTAACACTATAATAAATTTGACCTTTAATGTGGATGATTATGCATTTCATCATTGCTAATCAACCATGAATTTGATTCTTACTTTTTTTAACGGTCAATAAAGACCGTATTTGTTGTAGTGTAAGCTAATTGTCACAGCAAACATCCACGTTGGTCACTACATCATCTCAATTCAGTCATGTCAATTTTCTATTAAAATGATCTCATTTTTTGAAATGTTTACGAAAGATTAGGGGTAATATTGAATATTTTGAGAAAAATGGAGCATTTTTTAAACAATTCGATGGTTTTTATTTTTTATTTTTTATAATTGAACCTAAAAACACATTTTTCCAAATATTAATTTTTTTTAAGAAAAAGGATAGAATGAATTTTAAAGAAAATCTCAATCACATGGGGAGAGAGAGCAGAAACAAAAAGATCATGTGCCTATTTTGCATCTTGTTACCATATTTAATCGGTTAATCATTGAGAGAGAGAGGGTAATTATTATTAGAGAATGACTAATTTGGGCGAAATCGGTTTAAGGGAGATGAAGATTGGGACAATCTTGCGTGGGAGAAAGAAGAGAAGAGAAGCGAAGAAACAGGTGTAACCCAAATTTGGTGAGTTGTAAAACAGAAACAGCGAGTTTCCAAACATACCCAATTCCCTATGCCCATTCTCGAGAGGCGCCAGAAGATATCGTCAATCCTGTGTTCAGGAATGGGTTCTTCGCGCCTCCAAATGACTCCCTTTCATTCCTGATTCCTCTCCCACCAAGGAATTTTGATCCCTTCTCTCTCTCTCTCTTCTAGTTGAAACTTTTCTTGGTACGTCAAAAGTATTCCCCCCACAACCATTTTCACTACCAATTTTGGTCCTTCCTCGGTACGCAATTCTGGGTCTTCTCCGATTTTGTGTTTTCTTCATCAACTTGGATTCTTTCGTCGTGTTTCTTATCAGAAATATGTTGAATATGAATGTCATGACTTGTCGTTGTTATGATTCTGGTTCTGATTTTGGTGGTTTGGTTGATTTATTCATCCCGCAATGCGCAACTCTATTTTTTGTATCTTCTGTTTGCGCTTTGAGAAAATTGTCAAGTTTCGTGTTGTTTGCAATGGGTTTGATTTCTTTTTCTATTCTTATTGAGAAATTGTTGATGGTTCTCGTAAAGGTGCCTCCGAGTCCGATTACCTTTTTGATTTGAAGTTTCTTCTGCAGGGTTGTTAGTCTCCACATTTAAGATCTGTGGAGATGTCAAGCTTTGAAGGTGTTTTAGTTTCTGACCAATGGCTACATAGTCAGTTCACTCAAGTTCAGCTTCGAAGCCTCAAATCAAGAGTAAGTATTCGTGAATTTTCCGTCTCATTCTTCTTGATATTCGATCAATTGCCGTCGAATATGTTCCTTTGATGTTCATTGACTAAATGCACGATTTGTTTTAGTTTACATCAGCAAAGAATCATAATGGCAAACTGACAACCCGAGATTTGCCGCATATAATGGTGAAATTAAAGGCGTTCAAGGAATTGCACAGCGAAGAGGAGATCATGGGAATCTTGAGCGAGTCAGATCCTCAGTTGAGCAATGAGATTGATTTTGAATCCTTTCTCAGGGCAAGTCAATTCTGCTCACGTCTATTTTATTTTTATTTTTTGAAACGAGTATTTGAATGGTTGTAATTTTGTTCATATTTTTGTTGTTCTCAAGTTAGAAGTGAGGGGGATTTGTATTTGATTTTAGTCGGATCCAAGAAGAAATTTCAGAATTTATTTCGAAGCTAATGTTGATTATGTGAACTATGCAGGCATATTTAGATGTGCATGGCCGATCAGCAGAAAAAGTGGGTGGTGCAAACAACTCTTCATCATTTCTCAAGGCCAGCACAACCACCCTTCTTCATACAATCAGTGAATCTGAAAAATCACTCTATGTCGCTCACATCAATGGCTTTCTTCGAGATGATCCATTTCTAAAGAACTATCTCCCATTAGACCCAAATTCAAATGATTTGTTTGATCTCGCAAAAGACGGAGTTCTTCTCTGGTATTTCTGTAGGGATTGCCTTGCTCTGTTTTCTAACTTAAAAAGAAGCTGACATTCTCTTGCAGTGGCACTGACGTATTTCCATGACCATGCAGTAAACTTATCAATGTTGCTGTACCTGGGACGATAGACGAACGAACTATCAATATGAAAAGAGTTCTCAACCCATGGGAAAGGAATGAAAACCATACTCTTTGCCTCAACTCTGCCAAAGCCATTGGCTGCACAGTGGTTAATATTGGTGAACAGGACTTGGTAGAAGGAAGAGTACGTTATATGCCTATCAACTTTATTTATTAGTCTTCTGGTGTATTATGCACCTCTATTTATTAGTCTTTTGTGTATTATGCTTGCCAAAAAAGTTTGACGGAAAGTTCATCTTTTGCAGCCGCATCTGATCTTGGGATTGATTTCGCAACTTATAAAGGTTTCTTCATTACATATGAAAAATTGTTTGAGCTAATGGTCCAGAAGTTATTTAAATGACTCTTGTCTTGTTTTGCTCATTCGCTTGCTATGGAAACTACAGATCCAACTATTGGCTGATCTTAACCTGAGGAAGACACCCCAACTTTTGGAATTGATTCAGGATGGCGGGGTAATAAATTTGTCTTGTGAACTGTAAAAACCTAATTATCAGTGCTGGAGGCTCACAGTTTGCCGTTTGCTTTGCTTTCCAGGATATCGAGGAGCTTATGAATTTACCTCCAGAGAAGATTCTGTTAAAATGGATGAATTTCCACCTTCAGAAAGCAGGATACAAGAAAACTGTTTCAAATTTCTCATCTGATCTGAAGGTAGTTAGGCTGCTCTGCTCATATCACTAGTTCGGATATGCATTGCCATTGAGGGGAGTAGTTTTATACTTTGGTTTTGTCCATGAACGTGAGTAACTTCTTAAAACTGTCAAAGGGTGTCAAAGGGAGGGTGTGTTTGGGAGTGATGGTGGAAGGAGTGATTTTGAAAAAAGAGATTTAAGAATAATTGATTTTCCAAAATCACCATCCAAGTGATGCCTTAAAAATCAATTTTAAGTGATTTTATGGTTTCCTAAAGTCAATTTTTTAATTTGCCAAATATGATCTATGGAAATAGAAGTGATTTTGGCAATGGCAAAATGCATGTCAAAATCACTTCCAAACACACCCTAAGAAAGTAGCTGAGAGTTGGAACTGAAATAATGGAATTATTCTCAGTTTCAATTATTTTCTAGCCTCCTATTTCTTAAATTTTTTTTCGTTACAGTTTTATTTTTTATAGATATGAAAACTTGGAATCGTATGTAATCTAGTGATTGGTATCTTAGTTTTCCCATGCTCTTCACTTACCTATCTTCCTGAATTAGTCCCTTTAAACGTTTTTTTGGTATCATATGCATGCAGGATGGAGAGGCTTATGCTTACCTGCTAAATGTTCTTGCCCCTGAATTCTGTAATCCATCCACATTGGCTACTAAGGATCGTAATGAAAGGGCGAAACTTGTACTTGATCATGCCGAACGAATGGATTGCAAACGATACTTGACTCCAAAAGATATTGTCGAGGGTTCATCCAATTTGAATCTTGCTTTTATGGCACAAATATTTCACCAACGGTAAAGTTTTAGTATCTTTTATATTTCATTCAATGTTTGGCTGCTCCCAGGATTTTATTTCCTTTATTACTTTCTCTAAGATCCAGACATCTATAGATGTTACTTGATAGAATTTAGAAGAATATGGTGATTACTGTTACTTTTTGTTTTTTTAAACAAATAATTAAATGATTTTTTATATAAAGCATAACATGTATTATATAGAATATAAGATGTAATGAAAGAGAAAAAAAGCCAAGTCTTTGTTTCTTCGTCATTTTCTCTCTCTCCCTTGGAACTTGGGTTTCATTTTTGCATATAATGATCAAAGATAAAGTAATTTGCATTTTTGTGTTCATTGATTTATATTCTATATATTTTGAGCTTTACCTCAATGAACCTTGTGCTTTTTCGCCCGGGCTCGACAAAACAATAACTAGATATAATTTTGACAACCCCATCCCATCCCCTTGTATATTTGCTACAAATTTGATGAGAAGGTTTGTTGAATTTTTCGTGCAGGAGTGGTTTATCAATAGATGGAAAGAAGGTATCATATGCGGAGATGATGACGGATGATGTGCTAACTTGTAGAGAAGAAAGATGCTTTCGGCTCTGGATTAACAGTCTTGGGATTGCTTCTTTTGTTAACAATGTATTTGAGGATGTCAGAAATGGGTAAGCCATGTCATGGGGGCTAATCCGCCAGTTTAGAGTTGGAGAAAAAAGTCTACAAAATTGTGTTAGTTACTGCTGCTTTCTCTTGCTAATAATATGGTTTTACAATATTATGCTATGCAGATGGGTACTTTTAGAAGTGGTCGACAAAGTTTCTCCAGGGTCAGTTAACTGGAAGCATGCATCGAAACCTCCTATCAAGATGCCTTTTAAAAAAGTTGAAAATTGCAATCAAGTGGTTCGGATTGGGAAGCAGCTGAAATTTTCATTGGTTAATGTGGCTGGAAATGATATTGTACAAGGAAACAAGAAGCTCATCCTTGGTAATCATATTCTCTCCCATTGGAATTTTGATGTTCCGAAACATAAAATATCGTTTCCTTATTCCTTCATTCTACTGCTTCTTTTTGATAATATTTTGTTGCGGTGCATTCAGCTTTCCTGTGGCAGTTAATGAGGTTCAATATTCTTCAACTTTTAAAGAATCTAAGATCTTTCTCCCACGGAAAAGAGATGACAGATGGCGACATCCTAAAGTGGGCAAACTCCAAAGTGAAGGGCACTGGAAGATCTTCTCAAATCGACAGTTTTCGGGTATAAAGAAACTGAAACACATCACTTTTTATTTCATTCAAAAGTGAATAATATGTGGGATTTTGTTTGTGATTTGGACATTTCTCTCTTCAGGATAAGAGTTTGTCCAATGGAATATTCTTCCTTGATCTTCTGAGTGCTGTGGAGCCTAGAGTGGTGAACTGGAACCTTGTTACCAAGGGTGAAACTGGTATATTTCATTGTTACATGTGTTCTCCTTAATATTAAAGAATAATTACTCTGTGTGTGATTCCTTACTCTGTTTCTGTTTCTGCTCTGAACAACAGACGACGAAAAGAGGTTAAATGCTACATATATTATCAGCGTTGCACGAAAGTTGGGGTGCTCCATTTTCTTGTTACCTGATGACATAATAGAGGTTAGATCCAACTTTGATTTGATTAAAATGTGGATGGGTGGGTTGGTTCTTATTCAATAAGGGTCGAATACTTGGTTGAAGGTCGTAAGTAGCAGGCGTTTCCGTTTCGGCTGAAATGGCCATTTATTTGTGTTTTCTTTTATGTTGTGGCTGGCAGGTGAATCCAAAAATGATCCTGACATTAACTGCCAGCATTATGTACTGGAGCCTCCAGCAGCCTGTTGAAGAACTGGATGCCTCTCCTTCTCCTGCCACAGCAAGTACAATCACGGATAGGTCGACGACATCATCCATCAATGGTGAAGACGAGAGCTCCTCCCTCTGCGGGGAAGTTTTGAACTTGAGTATAGACGACACTGCCTCTGATACTACAGTCTCGTCTGTGGTCGAGAATGAAAGGGACCTCAACCTCATGTGAGGCCGAGACGAGATGAGTTGAGTCATTCATTCGACTTGGAAAGAAGAAAGGTGAAAGTGGTGGTTACATCAGCATCTGGGCTCGAGTCGAAGCTGCAAATGCATACATATAAAACACAAGCTTCTGATGAAGAAAGAAAGAATAAAAAGAGAAGAAGAGAAGAGAAGAGACGAGAAGGTTTTCAATGGTAAATCAGGAAGTTTTATATATCCTTCCAAAGGGAGAAAGTGGAGGAGGGGATGGGGATGAAATAAAATGGGTTAAATCCCAAATTTTCTTCAACAGTTTGTTATATTGTAGATAATAGAAAAGTTGGTTTTCAGCAAGTAAAGTAATGTTGATATAAATTACCTCCTCTTTCTGGGAACAACAGCATTTCTAAACTGCTGAAAACTATTTTCTTTTATTCTACAACATTCAATTACCCTTACATTGGCCATATCTCTAATATGCCCAAAAAAAGACAAAAAAAAAAAAAAGTTCATCTTTCTTTTCGTTTCATGGTTTTCACCCCGTTTAAATCCTTTGCTTATCTTAACATTGAATTATGGTCGATATATACCATTAGGAAACAATAACGATATTGCAAAAATCCAATATTGAAGTTAATTTTATTTCAACAAGTCATTATTCTTATTATTAAAATAATTTAGTGAAATTTAGAATATGTTTGGATTAACTTCCTAAATCCTAAGTGATTTTTATTTTATTTTTGTTAAATTACATAAAATATTTCTTGAGTTTCGTTGAACACCCTTGAGAGTAACAAGAGTAGAGTTGTAAGAGCATACCTTGCGTCTAGGATCTCTCCTCTAAAGAGTCTCCTTGGGTCGGTTTGGGATGGATCGGCTCGACCGAGTTTGGGTCAGCTCAAGTCTGATCTTGTTGGGTGGTTCGCAATTTGACACAGACGACTCGACTCATATCGCTTTCATAACTTTGGTTTTCTGAAAATTTGAGGAGGTAATTTGATACTGCTATGTAGAAACATCACATGTACATATATACATGACCTCGGACATCAACACATGCCTCTAATTGATCTTAAGCTTGGGCATTAGAACCTGTATATATTTATATATGTATTTTTATGACATATATATAAAAGAAAGAGGGAGGCCTTTGGTCCAAGGATTTTAGTGCAGATACACAAAACTTGTTATATTCAATTTTCAATTTATTTTAAGGGTATCAGATCCGCTGAGTGGCTTTTTATTTTAATATCAAGGTCTAATGCGTGACCCGAGGCGCGCAGGCTTCTTGCCTCTTGCCTCAAGCGCTGGCACAACTTTTCACATTTTTTTTTCACGAGTTCGGTGCATTGAGATCATAGTGTTAGACTTGATGCATGACAAGTCGAGTTGGACGCTTTAGGCCTCAAGCTCACGCACCTTGGTTTGAATTGCATGATGCCCTTGTAACCTCCTCAAGTCACGTTTTGGGCATAGATTTTGTTTATAAAATGTCCCCAAGCCTTTAGGCCTTCCATTTTCTAAGCAATGCCCGTCCTCGTTCTGGCCTAGGGACTCAAGTGGTCGACTTAGCTTCATTATTACCCCAAGGTTCGTCCTTTCTCAAAACTCAAGGTCGGTCGGCCTATTGGACTCTGAGGTTCGGGGGTCGTCTTGGCCACTTGGTGTCGAGGCTTGAGGTTTGCTCGACTTTCTCAAATCCAAGGCTACGCTTGGGCCCTGATTTGTGGTCTCAGGCATCTCCTTCTCTGGTTCATCAAGTCTTATCCATAGGTGTGCCTCTGCTTCTATGCGTGTCGATTTGGTTGAGGTGGTCATTATTACATATGCCCCGACCAAGTTCTCAATAAGGTTTACTCAATCAGTAAGGCATAGGAGTTTCAACCTCACCTCTTCCAATGTCGAGACCTCAGTAAGGTCTACTCGACTTTGTCGTTGGAGGTGGCCAATTTTGCCTCCACCTCTGCTCGAGGGCTCTGATAACTCTTTGAAAGAGCTATTTATTTCTCTATTTTAGCCCATTATCTTCCAAAGAAAAGAAGTGTTTTTATGAAATAAGTTAGTGTAAACAAAATATTTCTAGAACTTATAATGTTCTGTGAGGTTCATGCATATTAAGAGAAATTGTTAGGTTTTTGTTGAAACATTGTACCAATAGTTTTTTATAAGTGCATATGCGCCAAGTAATATTGGAGCAGTAGTGAGAGCAAGTTTGAATGGTATAAAGAGTGAAGCACCAAACCCTAAAGGCATATACATAAAAAGAACACAAAACAGTCAAGAAAGTGGACGACGAGGGCCACGAAGAGAATGAGAGGAAAAATGGCAAAAATCATACAACAACCATTGAAGAGGGGAATCTCCCCAAGAAATTGAGGCGAAGAGAAAATTTTGGTTCGTTGAGGGCTGACCCTTAGCGATAGTGGGAGCATTACCTAACTTAGTGACTTGTTCATTCAGTTATCATCCCACTCTACCAACACCACTCCTAATTTAGTTTGGAACTTGTGTATGTGCTTTCGAAATTTCAATGTCACCCCGAATTTGACTTAGAGTGTTATCTTCATGGTGGTATATACATTTGAATCGTGTTCCAACGAATAAATTTTTAATTCCTACTTTGATTTTTGATATTTGCCTTTTTTTCTTTTATGTTTTATCCCTTTTTACCGGACCATGGTATATTTTATGGGTCGTTTTTTCTATAATAAGAAGCTCCACATTGGCGCATAAGAATCAATCTATAAAAAGTACATTTTTGGTACTTGCTCTATATATATATATAAGAGGCTTAAACTCGGGCAAGACTTCTGTCTTATTTCTCGGGCATGATCTCGCTCGAGAAAGTTTCTCGATAAATTATCCAAGGGCCAAAATGAGAGGCCAAAACTCGGGCGTTCGAACTCACCCGAGTTATGAAATTCACCCGAAAACATCGGTTCACGGACGAGTTTCCATGACTTGGGTTGTTTTTTAGGTAACGTTTTCGATATATATATGCTTTTGTATATCATGTTGATATCTGCTTGTGCTGAGGTTCAATTAAAAAAAAGTGGGGTCTGAAGCCACTGGGCCAGATGTTAGTTTACTAGTGAGAATGACAATTAAAATTATAAATTCAATTTTAAACTTATTTGAGATACCTAAAGTAAAAAAACTCGTCTGTGAACAAATTCTGAGAAAAATTTGGGCGAGTTTTCTTTGAACTTGCCCGAGGTCTGGGGCTTCTTTAATGCTGTAATGAATATAAAATGAGGGGTAATTTAGTACATTTACTTCCACCGAATTGTCATAAAAAGCTGTTTGTGGTTAGGAAAAACAATTTTTGAGGGGTAGGTTATTTGAGCAAAGTAAAAACTTTGCTGGGTCATTTGTGTCAATTTCCCCCAAATGACTCAGTTGGTTTTCATTTTGCTCAATTAATCCATCCCTCCAAAATTGTTTTTTTTTTCTAATCTATTGATTATTTTAATTAATTTAAAAATAATTGAAATTGCATTTGTACTCTGAAGTCAAAAAAATTTCTCCCTCCCGGTTTCCGCCTCTTTCTCTTCTTCTCCTTTTTGGTTTTTCATCCCCATTTTCCACATTTCTCCTCTATTTTCTTGAACACCAAAAGCGCTTGAAACACCGAAAGCTCTTCTTCTATGTGAAAGTCGTTTTGGCATTCAATTTTGGAAATACAAAATACCCTTTCGTTTTGTTTCCTATTTCTTTCACCTTTATATTTTTTTATTGCTTTGTTTCAAATTTCTTGAGTTTTTGTTATAACAATGAAAGAGAGATTCAGTGTTACAAAAAATGGAAACTGGTGTACTGTTCTGACGAAGTCAGAGAGTCTACTATTTGTTAAAATCAAAACAAAACTAAATCTTGGATTTCAATCCGCATAAATCTGGACTCCTTGATTTTTTTTTAAAGTTTGGAGTCGTTGAAATTAAATTATCACTGGCCTTGAATCTCACTCGGAATTGCATAAATATCGCCCAAAATTCATAAATCTCACTCGAGATTCATACAAACTCGCCCAAGATTCAAGTAAAACTCGGGCGAGTTTGAAGAAAACTTGTCAGAGATTAATGGAAAACTCGGACGAGTTCCAAGAAAACTCGCCCGAGTTGTAAAATTTGCCCGAAATAATTGATTCACGGGCGAGTTTCTATATTTTGTGATGTATTTCGGATGAAGTCAACTTTTATAATATATTGATATTCTATGTGCTTCAAGTAACAAAAATGTGGCTTTGCTTAACATTCACACTACCCAGACATAGATAAGTTTATGTTGACAATTAGTATATATTAATTTAAATTGTATAAGATCTCCTAAGTTATAAAAAAATTGTCCATTAACCAACAATTTCGGTTGAATTTCACAAAATTCGGGTGAGTTGGCTTCGATCTCACTCGAGATTTAGTCTAGTTTTTCTATTTCGAACTTAAGTTTTTTAATTATATTAAGGACAATTTTGTATTTTCATCTGTACTGACATATCAGAAAAAAGCTGTTTTGGGTTAGAAAAACAATTTTCGAGGAGTATGTTATTTGAACAAAGTGAAAACTTTGCTAGGCCATTTGAGTCAATTTCTCGTTTTTCTTCTTCTTATTCGGTTTCTTTCTTCCCATTTTGTTCATGCTTAAAACCCACATGTCCTTCAGTTGTGTGTCTCAAAATCTTGGCTTTTCGCGTCTCATCGGTGAAATCGATGTAAAAAATTTCCCCAATTTTATTCTTTTAGTAAGGGATTTCTATTAATTTATACGTTGAACTGTTGTTTGCCTTGGTTGATTTGTTGTTTCCCATCGTAAACATGAGAAGTAGCTTTTAGGGTTTAACAAACGTGGATTCTCTGTTATATTGACTGATTTCTGTAAATAGTGGTTTGAGGTGGTGGGAGGTGAGCTCTTTTTTGATTTCGGGTGAAATTGGTTAGGGATTTGAAGTTTTTGGCGCGGGTTTCACTTTCGGGATGATTTCTTTCTCGTGGTACCTCGAGCATTAAAGCACTTTTACATTTATCGGAGTGATCTCACCCGAGACCATCCCGAGAAATATTTTGTATGCATAAGATCGTGTTGGAGGAAGAAAGCAAGAACTCCATCGAGCCCCAGCGTCGGCTTAACCCAACAATGAAGGAAGTAGCGAAGAAGGAGATTGTCAAGTGGTTAGATGCAGACATCATATACCCCATTTCAGACAGTGAGTGGGTAAGTCCGGTGCAGTGTGTGCCTAAGAAAGGAGGCATGACTATAGTTGAAAATGTAAAGAATATTAGTTGATCCCCACTAGGACAATGAGGGGGTGGCGCATATGCATGTACTACCGCAAGCTGAACAAAGCCACCAAGAAGGACCACGAGAAATGCTAGATAGGCTAGCAGGCCAGGAATACTACTTTTAGATGGATACAATGGGTATAATCAGATTACAATATCCCCTCAAGATCAGCAGAAGACGA